TACATTTACAATATTCTATTCGAATATTGATCAGATACTGAACAACAAAAGAGATTTTGTTTTCTTTAATCACCTTTTTTTTACAACCATTTCTCAGTGGCCTTCTTGTACTAGATAATATAACACACTGTTCACACAAAGGGAAGTAATTTATTTTAACACACACACAAAAGTGTTATACGACATATACCATATACTATCTGGGTTCTAACGTGATATATTTATTCAATATATATATTGTTTCAGTTTACATATATGTTTTGTTTTAAGACCATTTCAAATTCATCAAACACGCTTCTATATGTTCGATAGTATATATATTTAAATCATCTAAATTCCTGTGCAATATTGTCAATGAGTTTCGTAGATTTTACAACCCCTCTTTTAGATAAAGACAAGGATTTTAAATATATCGAGGAGCATGAACGCTTGCAAATTAGTCTCCATCGTACTGATAACAATCAATTCATTTGCAAAATTCGTAACTATTATTGTTTGTGATATTTAAAATCCTATAATTTCAAAGAGGTCCACAGCCCTCGTTGTGGTGGTACCCCCAGCTCTGTAGGTACCGAGAAACTTTTACCTCCGTAAATTGTTCAACTCATTTTATGCATTGCAAGCGTCTCGTCCACTGTTGGTTACTTTGTTATTTTTGCAGAGCAATTCTGCACCCTTGTCAGCCTCCGCTGACCATTTATATCAAATTTAATGCTACACAACATTTATAGATCAAGAACATCTGCTATGATCTTCATAAAATATGATTCTTGATAAAAATATCCATATTGTGTTTTAAGATTGTAGTCTATATATGTGTATATATATATGGGGCAAAGAAGTAATTCCAACAGTGTGGACATGTTTAGGTTGTCAAATTTTCGGAGCGATCCGCTCCTTTATCAAGACACAGTGAAACAACAGTTTCACTGTGTGTATATATATATATATTGGGCAATGATGTTAAACATTTTTGTAATAGATCAGAGAGACACTTAACTAATGTCTTTATTATTATTTTTGGTAGAAATATTGTCTGCATAAATCATATTTGATATACTATTTTCTTTCTTTCTTCTTCATTGTAATTTTGTAATACACCCCACAACCGGATCCTTTTTTTTATCGATAAATGCTTAATTATTGGAACGTTTTCTTTTCTATTTTTCAAATAAAACAAAAAGTTCGACTTAAAGAGAATCAATTTATTAGTGTCATTATGAAAAATACATCATACATCATTACTGTGGTACCTTTGGCGAAATGGTCGACTTTTTACCCTGTATATAAACCTACATACATATACTACACTAGCTTCAAACCTCCATATCATATCATTGTATTAGTATACAAAATGACACTCAGTATGTAAGTGTTTATTACGAAGTATCTCAAGCAGAATGTCTTTAACATGTAACTCCCTTAAATCATGCAACATGGTGAAAAGTCAATTGTAAATATTGAAAACAGTATTCGCTTTCCAAATTTCTTACATAACATTAACATTATATTTTCCTTAACATTAATTTATTACTAGCACAAAATTTATAGCTTGAGCACAGATTCTGAGTTTGATCATGAGAACGGTTTCATGAATATGGGCCCGGTCTTCGTGTTGACTGTAAGAAATCCTTCAATAAGTTTAACCAAACCAACCTTGACTATCCGGTTTATTTTTCAAAAGAACGCACCCATCTAAAAAGTTCTGACACGTGAACAGACTCTCGAGTAGCTCAAATCAAATATTTGTATACAAACCTCATAAAGAGCGAGACATGTATGTAACTACCGAGAACATGAAAGAGTTTGCAGTTACACAGTGAATTAAAATAGGAAATTCACGGAAGAGGAATCTGTGATTCGTTATGAGTGATAAAAATATTCAGAAAGGTCTATAATTCTTGTTTTTCAAGGACACAACCTGAATATGTAATCACAAGATCTTGCAGATACTTTTCATAACCATTGACCTATAGTTATTGTTTAATTTTTTCATCATTCGAATTTAAAGAACAAAAATGTGTAACAAGTTGTTATAGTAATTTATAAGTAGATCCTGAAATATTGATAAATAGAAGAAAATTGGACAATACTGACAGTACCAATATCGACGTTCTTTCTCTTACTCGCAGTGTGCTGTTTAAATGAATAAGTCTCATTTTTATTAGCTCACCTGGCCCGAAGGGCCAAGAAAGCTTGTGCCATGGTGCAGCGTCCGTCGTCCTTCCGTCCGTCGTCTGTCGTCCGTCGTCCGGCGTCGATATTTTACTTTAAACAACTTCTTCTTAATAACCAAAGGGCCTAGGGTGATGATGTTTGGCCAGAAGCAAACTTGGATGAAGGGCTAATAAGTTTGTTCAAATAAATGACCTTCGCCTATTTTCAAAGTCACAGGGGTCAAATATGTTCAAAACTTTAAACAACTTCTTCTGAATAACCAAAATGCCCAGAGTAATGATTTTTTGGCTAGTAGCATGCTTGAATGAAAGGGCTACCAAGTTTGTTCAAATGAATGACCTTCGTCCATTGTCAAGGTCACAGGGATCAATTGTCTTAAATAATCTTTATACAACTTCTTTTGGATAACTAAGAGGCCTAGGCTAATGATATTTAGCCAGTAACATGCTAGGATCAGGGGCTACCAAGTTTGTTCAAATGAATGACCTTTACTTATATTCAAGGACACAGGGGTCAAATATGTTAAAAAAACCTTTAAACAACTTCTTCTCAATAACCAAAAGGCCTAGGATGAACCTATTTGGCCAGTAGCATGCTGTAATAAAGGTCTACCAAGTTTGTTAAAATGAATGACCTTGACAAATATCCAAGGTCACAATGGTGAAATATGTATAAAACATTTAAACAACTTCTTCTGAATAACCGCAAGTCATAGGATGATGATATTTTGCCAGGAGCATGCTGGGATGAAGGGCTACAAAGTTTGTTCAAATGAATGACCATGACTTATATTCAAGGTCACAGGGGTCAAATATGTTTAAAACCTTAAACAACTTCTTCTGAATAACTAAAAGGCCTAGGGTTAAGGTATTTGGCCAGTAGCATGCTGAGATGAAGGGCTACCTAGTTTGTTCAAATGAATGACCTTGACTTATTTTCAAGGTCACAGGGGTCAAATATGTTAAAAACCTTTAAACAACTTCTTCTGAATAACTAAAAGGCCTAGGGTTAAGATATTTGGCCAGTAGCATGCTGTGATAAAGGGCTACCAAGTTTGTTCAAATGAAATGACCTTCGCCCATTTTCAATGTCACAGGGATCAATTGTCTTAACAAATCTTTAAACAACTTCCTCTCAATATATGTTTAAATCTTTAAATGACGTTCCGTATAACCAAAAGGTCCAGGGTAATGATATTTTGCCAAAAGCATGCTGGGTTGGAAGATTTTAAACTCTGTTCAACCTAATGTCCTTGTTCGACATTCAAGGTCACAGGCGTCATATGTTTAAATCTTTTAATAGGTTTTTTTGGATCAAACACTGATATTCTGCCTGTTGCTGTATTTTAGTCCACTTTTAAGATTACAAGTGTGGGATTAATACCAGGTGAGCGATTTAGGCCCTTTGGGCCTTTTGTTATTCATTACTCCTAGGTCTAAACAGAGAAGACGATATTTCATATGTGTCTATCTTGTATAACACAAGCACTTTGAACCATTATTTAATCATGTTAAGCATACCAATTACAAAGAAAAAAATCTATTTTGTTAATAAAATCCGTAAATAAATCCATACTAACGAGTTAGTCGCTTCATTTATGGAACATTATCCTTCATGTACTAAAGTATTACATGTAAAGTTGTTTTGATATCTTTTATGATCACCAATATTATTAAATGAGCTTTGTTCTGAACAAAGTTTTGAGTACAATCATCAGTTATTAGAACAATTAGATTGAATTGAAAGTACTTGTTCTATATTAAACTATATATATACAAATGCTGGTTGTTTAACGAAGAAACCAGAAAAACTGCAATTATATCTGTTTACTTCAATGTTATTCCCTTGCCGTTTACATTCCTGTCGTTGCGTCATCATATCAAATTAGCACTCCGTACGTGTAGGTTTTTTTCATATTTCTAAATCAATTTACTAAGCTAGCAATACAGATATATAGATAGAAAACAGCTCAGTGGGATAAGATAATATGAATGTAACGATATAATAAGATTATGATTATTATGATATAATAAGATAATAACTCTTTAGACAAACGATTGATTAGTAGGGATGATCTTTCGAGCCGATTCAACTGTATTCTCATCTTTTTATCATATTTAAGCATGGTCATAAAACAAGATCGCTCATTGCAAACTCGTAATCAAATCATTTGTTTATTGTAATGAAACATATTTTACAATTTTTGTTATCATTTGCATACATGTACTTATACGGTTTAAAATGAAACTCAAACACACATTTGATTATTTATCTAGTGAGCGAAAACACCACTTCCATCAGGACAGGTTAGGGATGACCAAACAAATTCTCGTTTATCAACATCAAAAATGTACGCGTGTATGTATGTAAGTAGCAATTTATGTACAAACAAAACTGGTAATACTTTACAAAACTTTATGCTATAGACAATACCTTATGATACACTCTTGTACTTTTAATAAAATATTTCGGACATATTTAAAGGATTACATAAGCAACCATAATATGACATTAAATACTTTGCGACGTTGGCTAGTTTTTGGTTTCCTATAATATCTAATTATACAATGTTCCAAATATTAATAACACAACGACAACATTCAATGTAACATTTGAAAATTAAATATCCATCTGTTTGTAAATGATAGAAACAGTAAGAAGCAATTGCTATCACAGTACAAATAATGACGATCTGTTTTTTATGCACATAATACAATTAATTGCTAAATTATTAAATACCATTTGGCCCGATTTGTTCATACCAACCAAACTACATAAACCATTCAACTATAATTAATATAATTTATATCTTACAGCTCATGTTAAGAAGATTTCCATCCGCACAGATTTCTGTTGAGGTTCAGTAGATTTTTCAACGCTGAGTTGAGTGGACGATTAAGAAGAGCGTATAAAACAGGATTTATGGCAATAACGGAACTTCCTAGTGTACCTAATACAATCAGCACACAAAACATGGAATATGAAAGCATTGTTGACCCACTTATACTGTTACTTATAACAAACACGGGAAGCGGAATCCAACAGCATGTAAACGTCCCAACTAAAATGGCGATTTTCCTGGAGGCTTTCAACTCGACCCGTCTTCGACCGTTTTCTCTGTTCTTTTTGCTCATTAGACACACAGCACCAGATACATTGTCGTCATTGGTTTTGGTCATGTGCACTGATCCGTCCATTCCCACAATTTCTATCGTGTTGTCGTGTATTGATGATGTGGCTATATTTTTATCTGTTGTCGTCTGCTCATGAACAGTCGTTTGAACAGTTTTATTCGTGCTCGTACTTATAGTTACAGGAACATTTAATGTTATTGATGCAGATGTGTTGTTAATTTTTGGTGAATCTTTAGCATCTTTCACACTTCGGAATGATACAGCGAATATCTGTGAACTTCCTGTGCTTCCCCTATTATCGGGATTCTGTCCTGTATAAGACGCACTGGCATCCGCATCATTTACTTTCACGGTATCTGGCACGATTTTTCTTTTTCGTTTATGCCGAGCCATTTTCACAGAATGCTTGAAGAGAGTTCTCAATATCAGGCTGTATAACACAATAATTACGCACAATAATGCCATTCCAAGAGGAAATATCAAATACTGGTCGTATTCTGCCCAGTTAGGAGCACCGTCTAAAAAAGAACATGGGACATACAAAGAACTATCGATGAAAAATAGTGCCGAAATGACCCCTAGAGTCAACGCTAAGAGCCATGATGTTATTACTAGCAAAACCGACCTTTTTTGAAGACCAACCTTCTTGAACGGATATACCACTGCCTGATAACGTTCAAAACTGGCCATTGTTAGCATGAAAAATTGCAATGTATCACAGAATGTTCTGAAGAAAGTTCCGATTCCGCAGATTGTCTTGACAGAGGAAAACATCGTATATCCCGTGTACAATTCTATCCGAATTGGAAGTAGACATGTGCAGCTAATAATGTTAACAATGCAGGAGCTTACCAGATTTATATTGATATAGGTCCGCAGATGTCGATTTTTAAATATACATAAACAAATACTTATATTGCCAACCAGTCCAATAATGATAGTTAGAGCCATGATGACGTCACAAAATACTATTGTCCCTTTTGATGACAGTATATAATGCTCAAATCGGGATCGGAATACATTTTCGGCATAGGTTGCATTGGTAACCATTTCAGATATGTAAATATATTTGCTATATGTTGTTGGTAAGAACCATTCTGATTATCAGAGTCATGTCAAAAGGCGTCGATAATAAAACTCACCATTTTGAGCAAAAAGCACTTTCCAATCACAATGTTTACTGTATTCAACTTGTATATTCCATAGGGGTAGAATCATCATTTGAAAAGTTTCCTGGAGGTCGGTCTATCTCAAATTTTTCGGATATAAATAAATATAAGTATGACTTGATTGCAGACACGCAACGCTTATTGTCGTCTATCGCCAATTCTAGAAGAGAATCCCTACGAACATTGTAAATTGAAGTATATTGAATATAACATCATTCGTCCTAGTGACTTCATTCCCGAACAACAATATCAAGATATCACATTTATCCTCATCTACACATTCCTTCGCTGTTTAATCTTCATCGCCGACAGTTTACTTGTAAGCCACCACTCTATAGGTAAATAGACATAGGAACTAAGCAAACGTCACATCGACCGCAATATTTACACGACAAATTATTATATATCCTTCCATAACACAGTTGTGTTCACGAGATGTATTGGAAATTGAAATTCTATATGGAAAAATCTATTTCATTAGCAGTAGACATCGATCGCAAGGAAATTGTACACATGGTACCCACAGACTGAAGCTCCGTAAACAAGTGATGCAATCGTGTACAAATAGACGTCACTTTCTAACCGAGGTTGATTGTGGGCGGGGTATGTTTGGACACATGGAAAGCTCCTCTATGCATGCTGTGTATGTAAATCCAACTGATCATAAGTAACCTTGCCAAAGGAGACTTGAGTAGTGCAAATCTCTCCTATTTTGAGTTATTCTTGTAAGATAAACTCTGAAATTTACGAACCAGATCACAAATCGTAAAATTCAGGTACTGTTAAGCTGATTGGTTTGGAGAGTACAACCACCGCTCCACAGCGAAGATCCGCTTGTCAATATGCTGTTTGCTCTATTTTACTCCTATTTTCAGATAGGCGATAATGATACAATTCATCGCGTTGAATTATCTCTCTAATTATCAGATGTTTATTATGATGAAACAGTAATTACTGCCAACGGTTGATAGCACAATGCTGGTTTATATAGCAATCAAAACAACATGCTGTTTTGTTTTTCAATGCTTCGGGGTGGGTTTTTTTGCATTTAGAATGAACTCATTAAATTATAACTAGAAAAACGAATAAAGAAGTACCTTTTAAAAAAATAAGTGCAACGATACAAAAGTAAGATTATCTAGCAAAATAGACATAGAAATCGCTATGGAAACGTAAAGCTACATTTCGACAGATAATGAAATAATTACGTCACGGCTTAATAAAGGATTTGTAGTGACGTTATTGGTACTTAAATGGTCACATATTAATCATTTTAAATACGCAAAAATAAAACATTAATGTACGTTTAGGTCAAGTAATATAGCGATGATAAACAGAATCAAGAAGCCGTTGGTAATCTTATTCGTTCACTTAACTCGACTTGTTGACCTTTAAGTGTCACACTGTTTTACCTCTATATTATCTGTTTGCTAAAACTTATTTTAACACAAACAAATAACAGTACAAAGCCTGCTATAATAAAATGTACCTATTCAATTTATATCATATAAGTACTCGATACATCAAGATGGTAACATAAAAATGTACAAAAAGTGGAGAAACAAAGTTACTTATATGATCAGAAATGCTATACTAAGAAACACTACTTTTTGAAGTATTAGAGATATGCAAGAATTCCAGCCAAGATTATTGGAAACACTTTAAAAAAATGTTTGTCCTAAAACTAAAATAGCATCTCCAACATTTATTCAACATGAAGGTAAAGATATTACAGATGCTGATGAAATTAGTAATGTTTTTAATCAATATTTTACAAATATTTCCAAACAGTATATACAATAAACATGTATGCTGATGACACAGCTGCTCACACACATGGCAAATCAATTGAAAACATCAATTTCAGTTTAAATTATGATGCCAAATTAATTCAGAAATGGTGTGATGAAAACAAAATGTGTGTTAACACAGAAAAAACTTTTTGTTTAAAAAGAAAAGTTTTGTTAATTGGAACATCACAAAGAAAATGTAGACAATCTGAAAATGTATCTGTTTTTATAACTTAGAAAATGTGGAACAATAACAACTTCTTGGGATTACTATTGACGATTGTTTATCTTGGGATAAACAAATTGCAGATGCTGCAAAAAAGATTGCATCTCAAATTATCCAAATGAGACGCTTTCGACCTTTCCTGACCCAATCATCTAGTCTCACATATTACAATTGCTTCATTAATCCCTATTTTGACTACTGCTCTAATATCTGGGGAAATGCAAAAAGAACCACATTGCAAATATTGAAAAACTGCAAAAACGAGCTGCCAGAGTTATTTTGAAACGTGATTTTTGTACACCTTCAAATGAAATGTTTAGCAAACTTAAATGGTTGCCCTAAAAAACGAATTTCATACAACCACTGTATTTTAATGTATAAAGTCTTAAACAACCTGGCTCCTGACATCCGTTATCCATTCAAGAACTACCAGATCATCAACGCAGAATGTATTTTATATGCCATCTTTTAAAACAAATGCTTTTAAAAGGTCTTTTGCATATCAAGGTCCATATATATGGAATAGTTTACCATCATATGTACAGAACTGAAAAAGTCTATTATCTTTTAAGAAATGTGCCAAAAAGTATTTTATGGGTTAAAACACATGTATGCTCATCATTTTTGTAATTTGTGTAATTTAGCACATTATTTATGTAACTGTTGTACAGTTAAAATGTAATACATGGGCTGACCATGCTGGTAGGACGCTTCCCCACCGTAGGAAAGCTCGGGTCATCGTTTCATTTAGAGCTGTTTCTGTGATAATAGTGGATTTAAAATGTACATGTAAAATTATCTTACCAGTTAACTATGCATAGTACTATTTTATCATTGTTGTATATAATGTACATTTTTTTAATATGCTTGACCATATTGGAGACGAGTCTTTGACTCAAAATGTAATCAAGTTTAAATAAAGACTATTATTATCATAAACCACTGAAATTATCTATGAATATACGTTCTAATAATACCTGCTACAAGTGTATGAAGTATTGCTCTACTCCTTATTAAAGTGACAAATAAACGTTAACCAATTTGTCATCAGCTGAATGATAATATACAATTACAATAACCAGCTCAATGTCAATAACATCAGGACAACATGAACTTCATTAAGATGTAACTAACAGTATCTATAATGCGTATATTCTGTCAGACTTACTTGCCTAATCATAAAAACAATATGCAAAGACTAAAATCATTTAATGACTAGAGTTTCTTTATATGTCTAGACTAAACCTTGATTCAGTCTTGTGAAGATGGTTCGTGAGGACACAAGGTAGGTATACTTTTCTCAAACATGATAGCACTAAAGTAAATGAGCTAACTGTTACCTAATCTACAAACAACTACAAAGGTTCCCAATCAATACGCAATGTACGTATGCTTTTCACAGATAGCAAGAAGTGATGATGCTTAATGAATCTAATATCTATTTCTGTATGAAATATTTTGGCCTAGCAAATGTGATTCAACTTTCTCGTGATCTAATCTCATGTAAATATTGCACACGAATAATCATCAAGAGAGTATTGAAAAGAATCATGTAAGTGTACATATGATCGTTTATTGATTAGGGGTATATTGATTGGTACTAAAAAAGGATTCAAAAAGAACTTGTAAGAATTATGTCTTGTCAATTAAGGTGATCTTTTACTTAAGCTACAGCACGTCATTTTCATTTGTAAATGTATCGTCCAGGTTATTTTCTGAAATCTGAGCTGATGATATATATAACTATGTTTTTGTGTCCAAGACACTTTTTTCATTAAATATCCTCTACTGTTACAGTTCATTATTCCTTTAAACCGGTATATTTGTTTTCAATAGAAAACAAATTACATAAAGAATTAAAGCAAACGCGAGCGTAATGAAATTTTATGAAAAATAGCCACATATATCGGTAACTAACCCAATTGTCTAAAGCCCTTGGTGAAGTAGGATTTCTTAAATTGGGACGAATAATCATACATAGCATGATAAACTCATAGATTCATCGATTGGATATACATAAATAAATTTACAAGATTCTCCAGTGTACCGTATAGTATCTAGTTATTTTGCAACCCATCATCAGGCTGTTCTGGATAAATCATCCTGCTGTCTGTTACGTATCCTGACATTTCTGCTTAAGTGGCGACAATGGTCGCTGAAGACATTGGTTGGTCATCTTCATGACCTGATTTCCAGGTAAGAGTTGTTGTGTCTACTACAATGCAGTGCCTAAGTGGTGTGTTTCAGAACGATAGTGACCGAAATAGTAGCTTAAGGTTGAAAAAAGATATGATAATGGATCATATTTGTTGTTAAACATAGCAAAGTGTTTCCCTATATGCCTCTCAACAGCTATTGAAAGATAAATGAATTTCAGATAATACCCAATTTTGTATTATTCAGACTGATCGCAATGGAAATTGACATGTTTTATTATCTTGGAGTGTACAATAATTAAGACATCATTCTTAATAAGTTATTTCTGACTACGTTAACATCACTATAAATCGTTTTTGATAAAAGTACCGGTTCAAAATATCCAAATTATATATTTGAATCCCGACATTTTGTTAAAATCCTCAAATATGGTCAATCAGGGGTTGACATGGAGGGTGTCCACTCCATCATGTAGAATGTTGAACCTTAATATATGAGCAGTTTGTTCAGTTGATTATTGATAATGTATTGTGATATATTCGAGATTTTCATCTAACAAGATGTCTTTGCAATTCGAACGAAAGCAAATGAAGATATGACAATAATGTTTAATAAAAAAAATAGCAATAGAATCTGGAGATGAATAAATAAATAAATAAATAACAAAACATCAAAGTCTTGACCTTCTTGAATTATTCGTCGTTCAAT